GGGGAGAGCTGTGTTCCTGCTGGCCCAAGGAGCAAGCCGGGGCTTGAGGCGGGAGAAAGCACCGCGGTTTGCCCGACTGGTTTGCTGGGAAGCCGGCTGCAGGGCTGGCCTGCAGCGTTGCCAAACTTCCCCCACAAAGATAGGGATTATTTGTAAGGGGAACGAAATTCCCTTTCTTCCCAGTCCTGATGGGGATTTTTTGGCTTTTCAAAGAGCCGTGTTCCATCATAAGGAGGTTGCGATGAGCTTGTCTTTCCCTGTGCAGCTCTAACATTTGACAAGTGGAAAAGGAGAGGAGACACACAAGAACAAGGAAGGACCAGGGCCAGTGAAGGACCTGCCAAGCTCCAAGGATGCTGCAAGGACCAAGCTCCAACCTCCAGGCTCCAATGAGAAATGCGGAAAAGCAGGAACCAAAGCTGCAGAGATGCTGCTGCGGTTTGGCACCAGGGGAATGAGGTGCTCGTGGCTGGAACTGGGACTTAGTGGATGGCCACAGGACCCCAGCGAGATCCTCAGCTTTGCCCTGACCCTCTCTGACCATGGGAGGGACCGTCCCTCCCCAAACAGCCCCCGGGCCAGACGAGCCATCTCTCTTTCAGCCATGCAAGAGCTGCTGCCCCGGGACAGGGTGTCTCACTCAAAGACACCCAGGGGATGGTAGTGGCATTTGGAGCAGAGCCTGCTGTCCCTTTGCCATCTCTCCAGGGCTGCAGATGTGCAGCCCACAGAAGGTGCCACATCCAGGCACCAGCCCAGCCAGCAGACATCTCCAACCACCCAGTTTTAGGGTTGTGAGGACACAGGGATGCAAGGATGCAGGAACATAGGGATGCAGAGATGGAGGACACGGGGATGCAGGAACACAGGGAAGCAGAGATCAAGGACACAGGGTTGCAGGAACACAGGGATGCAGAGATCAAAGACACAGCGATGCAAAGACACAGGGATGCAGGCACACAGGGATGCAAGGATCAAGGATGCAGGGATGCTGGGACACAAGGATCAAGGACGTAGAGATCATGGACAGAGAGATGGGAGCAGGAGCAGGAGATTTGGCTCCCACATGGCATTTCAGCTGTGCCGTGGTGACAGGGACACATCCTGGCCTGAGCAGGAACCACAGGGGATAAAGGACTGTGGGTCCAAGCGATGCTGATGGTGAAACCCAGTGAGACGCTGCGGAAAGGGCAGAGGGAAATGCCTGTGACGACAGAGCGGTAAAGCAGGTGATAACACATCCCCACACCAGCCCTGTGCCAAGGTACAGAGCTCCATCAAGATGCTGCTCTGGCTGAAAAGCAACCCTACCAAACCAAACGAATCCGGGCACTGCTGCCACGTCCTCAGGGGCGTAGCAGGAGGAGCAGGGACCTCCTGCTCTGACCTGCCGGGCTCGGGCATCCTCTCCGCACGGTTCAACTCCTGCATTTGCAGATGGGCCTTGGGGTTTTCCTTTCCCTTCCCACTTTTTTTACATTTCTGTGCTGCCTCACTCATCCAGGGCTGTGCTCTCCCATTTTCTGGCTCCCAGAGACTGTGGGGACGGGGGTCCACAGGGCAACGGGCAGGACGGAGGATGGCCAAGCAGTGGGCAAAGATCTCAACAGGAGCCCATTCCCCTGATCTCTGGACCCGGAAAGCTGCCTGCAAACAGCCAGACCTGCTGCAAGGCCGCTCTGCATCCGGATTCGTGTAAATAAAGCATGGGGCGTGAGAGCTGCGGAATGCCAGGAATGCTGCGAGCCTTCCCGGGCGGCTGCCTGCGGCTCCCGAGCAGCAGGAGCTGGGGGAGGCAGGGCAGGTATGGCCGCTGGCGGGGGGCCGCCGGGACCCCCCAACATATTCCCAACAGCAGCAGCACCCCGTGAGTTTCCCAGCCAGTCCTCCCCATCGCCAGCCCCGTTTCGGGGAGGGCAGAAGGGTCCCCTTCAGACGTGCCCTGTGCATGGGGGGAGCTTGTTCCCCCACTTGCAAAACCCAGGAGAAGTCATGGGTGGAAGGAGGACCCCAGCTCTGAGCTTCCCATCGCTCCGAGTCTCTCTAACCTCCTTTTGCAGGGATGAAGACCTGTCCCACAGCCACAGGAAGCCTCAGATTTTCAGCCATGCTCCTTCCAGGCTCCTGGGTGGGAAGGATATTCCTGAGCTGGTGTGCAGTATGGCAGTCCCACCAAGACCGGCGATCCTCAACGGAGCCCTAAGCCACTTTCCAGTTAGGAGCTGGCAGCAAAGCTGGTTTCTTGTGCTGTTGTTCTGCATATTCAGACCTAAAACCCATGGCAGAAGCTTGCACAAGATCTTGTCCGCAAGGACAACAGGATAAAAAAAATAAAAATCACTGCCAATAAATGCTAAGTGATGCACAAAAGTGAAAGTGTGAGCCTGGCTGGTGATGGCTCCTCCGGCCAGGCTGCCAGCACCCAAGCAGCCGGAGCCAAGTCCTCAGGGATGCTCCCTGGGAAGCATTAATGCAACAGCTATTAAAAATAAAAGGCAGATGACAGCAGCAAACAAAAAGCTCAGAGGGGAAGGGCTGGGGAGCAGCACGATGTGTCTGTGGAAGTCCTAATGCAGCCCTGGCTCAAACACCAGGAGAACTTCTGGTCTTGCAGAAGACCATGGAGGCAAGCAGAGGGGGAGGGGCTTGGAGGCAGCTGGCAAAGCCAGGGGAGAGCTTGGGGATCAGGTCCAGCTGTGCTTCAAGACGTGACCATCAAGGAGTCCCCGTGGTGGGGGCTTAGGCCAGAAGAAATGGGTCGGTCTTTCGAGGAAGAGGAGGAAGATCCCATCAGGATGGAGTTACTGGAGTGCCACACACAGGAAGGAAACTTACCGGCATTTCTAGGTGACTCCATCCTTTTCCCTCATCGAGTTGGGGGGGAAATGGTATCCCAGTGGGATTTCATGGAACGCAGAGATGCTCTTGAGCATTTGTTTCCCCTCTCCCACGCAGCTGCGCCCCAAATCACTGCCCCGGGGAGCTGGGAAGGGCAGCGTTTCACCCCGTGGGTCACCACCTCCGGGCCCCTTCCCCATGGCAGCACCTCCGTCTCACCCCATCGCGTGGGAGAAAAAGAGTAGCCGTGGGTCAATATTTGGGTTTTTTTATTAAAATATTGTTATACCAAGTGGAATGCTACAGCAATCTCGGTATAGGGCGGCATAACGAAACAGCCAGGTTTACGTTTAAATACTTAAGATAACTTAAAATGCACAAACAAGAAATCATTGTCTTTGGCAGGGGAAAAAAAAAGTTCACAGCACGAAAAAAATATACTTAAAAAGAAATACCAATATTAATATAAAATATATTAAGTTGGGGGGTTCCTCTTTCATAATTTTTGTTTGTTTGTTTTCCACTTTGTAAACAATGCACGAGAACCGAACGCATTTTTTACGTGTCTGAGAGAGAAGAATAAAAAATGCAGTTGTCCAGCAAATGCACACGTTTAAAGAAGAAGGAAAGAAAAAAAAAATATATATATACATACGAAGGGCAAGGACGGGAAGTGTCCGAGCTCAGAGGAGCGAGAGGTCAGCGCTGGCTACGGGCAGAAGCCAGCTGCCAGTAGCTGGGGGACGTGGCAGGGGGAGGGAGGCACGCGAGGGGCGGGGC